GCAAGCCAGCCTAGAAAGACATGCAGCAGTACAGTAACACAGTCCCAGAGTCACACCCTCCAAGGCAAGCTTACTGCTTCAACAGTTAGGGCCGACTTAAATATAAGTGTTTTATGCAATCACATTTCTGAATAGCTTGTTAGGTTACCAGTACCTATAGAATTATGTTTCTCAAGTAAACGGATGAAATTCCAAGATAAGGGAAAAAAAACACCACTTGTTTTAATTCATCTGAAATCTGTCTTCAACAACCCCACACCTTCCACAGTTCAGTGTTACCTCCTACAATGTATTAACCCACAAAATGTGATAGATTAGTAAAACTTGAGAACATTTATTACAAAAAGCAGCATTCCAGAACTGAATTTCATGTTATTTTTAGCTGATATTCATCAGGGCCTAATATATATATACAAATTATTGCTGACAACAGCTTTCTCTAGTGAAGTATTGGTGGTACATTACATAGATAAGATCCTCTGTGTTTGCAAGAAAAATCCAAAAGCTTGAATAAAATCTCTTTCTGATAAATTCTTCTGTTATGTGGATAATGTTTTAATATTACATTAATATTTTCTCTGTGGCAGTTTCACCTTTCAGATTTTATAAGTTGAAGCAGGAACATTCAGATGCAGTAGCTGGCACAGAACTTTTCATGCATATACCTGAAGCTCCTCCAAAACTGCCTTCAAAACAGTTTGAAGTTTCACTCTCCTTTAGCCATTAAAATTTAGAACACTGAAACGTAGTAAGTCATGAAGCATTTTGCCAAATAAAATACAGTAAGAATCTTTCTTGCCAAGCATCTTTTTTTTATGGGTTGCAACACAATTCATCTGAGAAAAACCTACACCACTAAGAAAATGGAGTAAAATATCACACCTTTTCCATTCACATGGGCACACTGCATATTGTTACCACCATCACACCACTCCAGCTACATACTCCCTTGTAAATATCAGCCCCTCAGAGACATCCCACTTTGTAAGAGAACTATCTCCAAACACAGACAACCAGCAGTGCCAGAAGCTCAGCTGATAGACAGTACATGTGTCAAAGCACAGATATGAGCATATAATCTTCCACATACCCATAAGATACACAATGTTCTGCCTGTGACACTCGCATCATGCAAACTGCAAGAGGAGTTGTAGACACAGATTATGACTTCTCCTAAATTAACTGATATACTAGAAAAGGATGCAAGTTTTTGGGTAAACTATAAATGAATCTAAATTCAGACTGCTATCATCGCATTTCCCCACTAGCACAGCTGTGTGTGCGGTTCTGCTTCTCCTTTCCACCAACAGTATAGCTGAGCAGCTTCCACATACTATGACAATTAGGAACTAGATCTAGCTCAAACAACAATTTGGCACAGACTTTTTAGAAGACAGAAGAAAATCACATCAGCCTGGGTTAGAACAGTTTAAATTGCCACAGAACAACCTTACGAAAGCACAATTTAAGGAAGTGAGAAGGATCTTATTTGTACAATGTACAGAATGTAGCTTAGGAACACTAAAAGAAACCACCTCACCTTCCTCCTCACAACACGTTTTCTCCTTCCCTTCGATCAGTATTTCTGACCACATATCTACACAATTGGACATTTGAATCAACTTATCTAGTCAAAAATTGATGCAGCAAAGACTTAGACTTAAAACAGTAGCTTAAACAACTCACAGGAATTGTGCACTAAGCAAAAAGCTAGTTAGCCCACTTTACACGGACAACTATAGTTTGTGAGGGGGCACAAACGACAGGATTGCCACCTTCTACTGAAAAGACACAGGCATTTAGACACAAATATCCCCTGCAGAATACAGGGACAGCAGCTAGATAGACCCAAGAGGAAAAGGGGTAAGAAGCAGTAACAGCAAAATATATAGCAAGTACATCAACAGCTTCTTTTAGCAGGAATTCTTAGACTATTGAATTTTAGAAGAGTATCAAACACACGGCTCTCCACAAGTGGATTCTAAAATACATCACGTTGCCATTAATTTTACAGGTAAGATTAAAATACAAGATATGCAGACTATAACATACGAAAATACACAGCCTAAGCATTTATATTTACAAAGCATGTCTCCATAAAATCAGTAACACTAACAGACTAGAAGTACTAGGAAATCACTTATTTTATCCTACAGAGGACATTTACTCCTTTAGACGATATCAGCAATTAAAAACAAGTACAAACACCCCCCCAGCCTATACTGATTTAGCTTTTGCAGTATTTTACCTGGATAAGGCATACTCACAACAGAAAAAGAGTCCCAACTATTTAGTTATCAGGCATTCCTACAGTCCAGGCAGTACATAAAAGTGCCTTAAAGTTAATATAATACACACAAGTAGAAAGCACTACTTGAAACAAACTCTCTGCAAGTTCCATACAGTCTAAAACATACTAGTACTACACATAATATTGTGGAATACACAGAATATATCTTATATATAGAATATGGAATATAGAACACAACAGTTCTGTGTTAGAAAGAATTTTACATAAGTAGCTGGCAAGCAACAAGAGAACCTTGTGTTCCATGGCAAAAATACCACTCACAGAATAGCCAACCCATCTAGGCTCATCAGTTGTGCCTTTCAAGGAAGACTCTAAAGTCTTTTTAAAGCTAATACTGGAAACTAGAATTCATAAACTCAAGGAAAATAACAGGAACACCATTGAACTGTTGTTCTGATAACACTTCACAACGTCCCTTTTCCAGAAAAAGGGTTATTCTTCTGTACAAGCTCTAACTGCTGTAAGAGCTCACAACCTGACCACCTCACTCCAACCATCATCATCCTTTGCTTCTCCCACACTGCCTCTTCTCTTCAGTTTACCTGACTGAAGCAATCAAGCCTTCATTTCCATTTAATAACAGAATTGCACCTGACAAAAGACTTCCGTGCTTTAAGACCTGCTAATTTTCTCCTAAACATTGCAGGTGACTTAAAGAAAAGTATCTCTTCTCCATTAAAAACCTTCCATCACCTCTGTAGGCAAATGCAACTACCCTCATGATACTAAAACACCCAGCAGAAACGGATTAAAAATGAATAAATAATGGCTAATTACCCATCTAAATTGGGGGGGAAGCAGGTGGTTTCTTCACACAAAATGCATGATGTTAACAGGAAGAAGTATACAAACAACAGTTTTCCTGACTGTGGGAACACAGTTGTATTATGATGAACGTAAAACGGTAAAGAAAATCATGATAAACTCATAAACTTCTGAGAATAAAAATGGTGTGTCTAGAGGTTTCAAAATAACTTGGCTTGAAAACTTTTGCTTTGCTTTACCAGTGCAGCTTCTTGCAGAAGCATCTGATTTTCAAGCACTCTGAAATGTGAGCACAGGTACTGCAAACATTCAATAAATAAATAAAACCATTTCAAACTCTCCATAGTTTGAAGTTGAGTGGTGTAGATAAGGCAATCGTGCTGAAAGTACCTCTGCGTCTGAACACCAAACGTTTACGTTATCTTGTTGAAACTTCAGGCCAGAAGTTTGTGTTTCTTCAAAGTATCTTGCAAGATAAGATGTATTTTACTCCAACCAAAGCACTACAGAGAACCCAGAGCAGCACAGAAATAGGGAAAGGCGGTGATATGCCAAGACATGAAGGCAATCGGGAAGCAAGCTTGTTTCCAAAGATTTATTCAACTTTATTACAGCTTCATAGCTTTAACTTTTTTTTTTGCAGGCTTGAATGCGAATGAGGAGCTGTCATCTAAAAGCCACTGTGCGGAACAGCCTCAGGGTACCTTGGCTGCTTTAATACCCACCTTGCGGTAGACTACATTTGACCCACAGTATTACATGGCAATGAGTTATGGTAGGTACTCAAAACTAAGTGTGTTAAATCCTCCCAAGCGACACTCGCCTCGCTCTGCTGCATTTACTGCATGGGACTGAGCGAATCCAGGAGTGATTTGGGCCCTTTTCCCCCCTCTCCCCCCTCAGGGTGCCCGCTTGCTGAGAGGTGAAGCCGCGCTGCCAGCACCACCACGGCGAGTCCCGCCCCTCAAGGGCTCGCCTCTCCCGCCTGAGGGTGGCTGCCGCCGCTCGCTCCTCGAGCAGGGACCACCGGCCATGCCCCGGCCGACCGAGAGCTTCCTCCCAGCTCCCGAACGCCGAGCGCATCTTCGCGATCTCCTGAACGTAAGAACCACCCCGCGGCCGCACAGCCCTCCCCTCAGAGGCGATTCCCGCCCAGCTCAGCCAGCGGCCACCACAACCTCACCTCCTCCCTCCTGCGAGGAGAAGAGCACCTTCCACATCTCCTGCTTTAGGGATACGGGGGATATCCGCGCCTCAGCGCCTCGCCATGACCCGCCATGTCCCCTCTCCTGTTAGGAGGAGGGACGGGTGTGATGGCGCTGAACCCCCTCAACCACCATGCAGCCACCAGGGGGTGCAGTGCCGCGGGGGGGGTGCATGGCCGCGCGGCCCCACCTCCGCGGGCGCGCTCCTTGCCCCATTGGCAGCACACCGCGGTGCCCGTCGGGAAGGAGGCGGTGGAGGGGGGGGCGCCGGGTAGAAGGGGTCGAGTTGCGGGGCTGTGGCTGCGGGTTGTGCTGTGCGCGCCATGAAGGAGATGTGCGGGTGAGGCGGCCGCGTCCTCCTCCCTCACGGCTCCCTTAGGGGCTTTTCCTGCTGCTGCCTCTGGGTGGTTTGTGAGGGGAACCTCGCTTTTAAAGTTCAGCCTACACCTGTTCCGTGCGGAGTGAAGGGTTCGACCCACGGAAACCCGCGTGGAGTGAAGGGTTCCACCCACAGAACCCGCGCGGAGTGAAGGGTTCCACCCACAGAACCCGCGCGGAGTGAAGGGTTCGATCCATAGAACCCGTGCGGAGCGAAGGGTTCGATCCATAGAACCCGTGCGGTGACGACACAGTTCCATGTGGGGTCCTCAGCGTCGCTGCGGTCCGGTCGTCACTTAGCAACAGCGCGGCGACAACACGCAGGACTCGGTCGGGCGCGGAGCGGGCGGCTTGCTCCGAGCTCCGGTGCCGAGGCGCGATGAGGGGTTCCCGCAGTCCTCCCGCGGCGGCGTGGCCTGCGGGGGGGGAATCTGGCGATGCGAGATCGCCGTCCTCGGCGGCAGGGTTGGTTTGTTGTTGTTGTTGTGTGCGCTTCGGTTCGTGCCACCCGCTTTGCTGGGTCAGGAGGTGATCTCCAGTTACTGAGTGGAGGAGGCTGGAGAGATGCGTTTCTACCTGTGCCAAAGCAGGGCAGACTTAAGAGTGGGGTTAAGGATGAGTCTGTGGTGAGCGCTGAGGGTGGTGAAGGCGGCTGCCTGAGCTGTAACACTGTACCCTTACCTGTTGGCTCTCTGGATATGCAGGAGAAACGGCTTGCAGCTTTGTAAAGCTATAAAAGTAGTGGTAAAACCTGGAGCAAGTCCGTTTAAGTTAACTTCTTGTGTGAAATTGGGGTCTCTCGGAACAGAGATGGGTTGGAGCCATTTGCTGTGGTGGGCAAGTTGTAGCAAGAGTTGGCAAAATAGCTTGCCAGGCTGTCATGGGCCTCTTGTTTAAAACGGGAGGTGATGGATGAGTAGGTTGTGTGCCTTGGATGCTGCTTTATGTCTGAAAATCCTTTCTTTGTATGTGTCTGATGCGCTTGAGAGCAAACTTAAGATGTGTTTATTTACTTATTTCTTTTTTTTTAATGCCATAAGTCTTCCAGTAAAGCTTTCTAAGTGCCATTTTCCTCAAGTTGTGAGCTTAAACTTTCGGTAACACGAGCAACTGAAAAATACCTACTATAGACTTAAAGAATCTGATACTAATAATATCAGATACATCTACTACTGTTCCCTATGTCAGTCTTTAGTGGAGGAATAAGGCAATGGAAGGCAGATGGTGCCTTTCTGTACACTGGCAGGGTCTTGAATGCTAGCAAAGCCAAAACTCCATTCTTGTTTTGTGCATACTTTCTGAAGTGCAAGTTGTACAATGCAAGTAATATGTAAAATGTGTGAAAAGCTGATGTTGTAGGTGTTTTAATTTAGATATAACACACCAATTAAACATAGCCTTTCCTTCAGTATTTATTATGAAAGTGATACAAGAAGGAAAACACGAATATTTTTACTTATGAAGTGGAAGTTGACAGTGCCTATAGGTGATGCAAATTAGGTCCAGGGCTAGTAACACTTGTTCTGGTGGGAGAGACTAGTTGACAGGACTACAGTACTAATCCCCCTTAGTTCTTTGGAAAACACATAGCAGAAAGACTGAAAAATGAGCCCCTAGAGGGAAATGGAAAGGATGACACCCAGCTGGATGATTAAAAGCTATGTCTATAGTTTGATAAAACTGCCCTGAGAGACGGAGAAATACATCTTTCCTCAATGGAAGAGTAAGGGCAACAGCTGGGAATAAGAATCTGCAATAAGATGTCTTCCTAAAAAAAAAAATCAAATGTTGAAGCTGTGCTTTGAGCATTTCCTAATCCCATTCCAGCTGAAATGGGTTGGATACCTTAAATACCTATAAGCATACCTGGGCAAGACCAGCTGATATTTGAAGTTGTCTGTATGAGAAGTAGGAAAATACCTGGTTTGACTAAAGGTATAATTAATCCCTTTAGCCTCAGAGTCTGGATGTGGACTCTTTGAAAACTGTGAGTTGTATACACTTTTTAACGTGTCTCTGCCTTTTGCTACTAGTGCTTCTGAGGGACCTTCAGTCCATTGTATGCTTCTTACCTCCTCTCCCACTCCTTTCTCTCTTCTGGTTTCAGCTGGTAGTGCAAAGTAGGGTTTTTTCTCCATTTTTCCCATTCTAATTTAACTTTGTTCTCCCACATCAGTCCTGTGATGCTTCTGATTGCAAGTAAGTCTAAACACACAGGGCAATTGGAGGGTTGGAGGTGAGCATCGTGCCTTGCTCTAATCGGAGTTCAGGGGCAGTAACCTTGTGGGCCTCCAAACCCAGGAGTCCTGATTTAACTGGAGCCTAGCTGGGCAGTGAGCTCGCAAAGCCACACTTGAGCAGCTCTACAAAACAGAGCTTTATATGCTGACATACATCCCTTGCATTTAGGTAAAATGGATGTATGTGCAGTTAACTGAACTATAGAAAATGAATGCTGTGTTAAAAGCATGAGGATTTCCTAGCAACTTCATCTGCATAAACAAAAATGGGGTAATACTGAATTTACTGCATGAACTCTAACAGACTGCTTCATTATATGTCCTTACTCTACAATAAACTAGAATGCCTTCTAAAATGCAGAAGCACAGCAAACACTTTTATACTAAAAGAAACAAGTGTCAGATTGTGTTGTTTAACATTAGCAGGAAGCTGATGGGAACATCCTTGTAACTGATACGAGATTGAAATGTGTCCAAAGCTGCTGTATGTAGTGTTACCCTCACTGGATTTCTAGCCTTTTCTGTTCCTGGTGATCAGTTCTAAGTGATGGTGCAAATAAGTTGTACTCAGATGGTAGCAATTTGGATCTTTTATTATATACTCAAATGTACTTTTAAAAAGTGGTTGTGACTTCTAAGTTGGGTCAAGTTATCTAAAAATCACAATTGGGGTGGTTTGTTTTTTTTCTTTTCTCGTGTGTGTTGCTGCTGGGTAAAAGAGCAGAAGTTGATTTGGAAACTTGTAAGTTGAAGTTGGTTTGTTTGGGTATTTTTTTTTGCTTTTATGAGGTCTTCAGTATTCTGGTTTCTCCCACAGTACTTCCAAGCCGCAGGCTCAATGGCACCATAGAATTACCTCCCCGATTAGTCTGGCTCTTCCAAAGGATATAGATCGCATTCATACTCAGATGCTGATTGAAACAATGAAGCCATTTGGTGTGTTTGAGGATGAGGAAGAGCTGAATCACAGGTATAACAAGGCTAAAATTCATTAACCTCTTGGGGGGGTTCCTGTTTTAAGGGAAACTTAACATGAGTTTTCTTTACAGGATGGTTGTTCTTCGTAAACTGAATAACTTGGCCAAACAATGGATTTCAGAACTTGCTCAGAGCAAGGTAAGGACTTTTTCTATGTTCTTATCAAAGCAGCTGAAGCCTTTTTATTTCTTTTAAAAGCCATGCTGTTAGGATTTATGCTGAAGCTCAACTTCTAACTTCTTAAGTATTGAGTAGAGCTGTAGTAACTGCCATTGAAATAAGATATAAAAGATAATTCAGATCAAGATCCTGAAGTCGTTGGGGAGCTAATTAAATCTGTGAAGTGGCTCCATCAGTTAATAAAGCCAAACCATCATATTGTGGGGTGAGATAGATGGCAAATGGGCACTAATCTTGCCTCAAGCTTCCTACAGCGCTCAGTCTAGGAATTATTACACTAGACTTAGGTGGTATTAATTTATGTGTATACTGCAGGGAAGACTAATAATAGGTCTTAATTTGTGTAAATTAATGAAAGGACTGTTACATTACTTATTATTTTGATTTGCAAGCACTCACTTCAGGAAAACAGTATCTTAGAATAACGGTATATTAGACTGTAATAGTCTGTAACTGTGTATTCAACTGAAAGCTCAGTACAGGAGTGAGAAGACCATGTTTTGGAGGCTGTTGTAGTCTTTCTATGTAGGTCAGTGGATATCTCCAAAATATGCTCGTGTTCTCTTTTCTACCCACAGAATCTTCCCCCTTCAGAAATAGCGAATGTTGGTGGCAAAATACTTACATTTGGTTCTTACCGGCTTGGAGTACACACTAAAGGTACAACTTCCATTCCTTGATTGTATTTCTAATGTTTGAAAATGACTTCCAACAGTAACAGAAGAAATGGAATCTCTTTGTAGGTGCTGACATAGATGCAGTTTGTGTTGCTCCTAGACATGTGGAAAGATCGGATTTTTTTCAGTCATTCTTTGAAAAACTGAAACATCAGAAGGAAATAAAAAATCTGAGAGTGAGTAAATTCTCTACCTGATTGTGCAAATTCTACCACAAGAATATTCATGTTAAAGGCTCATTGGTTGTGAATGACTTACAAGCCAAAATGAAACCCAAAATTGTTTCTGAGCACCTTCAAAAATACTATTTTATGCAGCATGAAAATGCCAAAGTCAACCTTTTGGTTCCTTTCCCCAATGACTCTTTGTCACATAAGAATTTGGGAAGGTGTTAGCTGTATCAAAAAGCAAGATTGTCCTTAAGAGCCTTGCTTTACTCTTAGATGTAGTAAGGAGCTTGGAAATAAGATAATCGTGTGCAGGAATAGGATGGGGCACCCTGAAAAGTAGAGAAGTTGAATGTGATGTGGAAAGGTTTCTGTCAGTATGCTTTTCTCTCTGTACTTTAGGACCTCTAATTCATACTTCCCTGGCCATGTTCATCTCTGACTACTCTGCCTGAGACTTTATGGAAGGGATGTACACAGTCAGCTTTGTGTAAAGTTACGGGAACTGTGCTGTGAACATAGAGCACTGCTTTGCAATTCTCCTTCAGGCGCATATGTTGTGTACCTTGCATATAAAAGTGAACTCCTGGGAAGCATTTCTCGTAGCCTACCCTTCCTCATGTAGACATTTTGAAAGACTTCATGTGCTTAGCAAATAAGCCTTTTCTTTAGATACCTGAAAGCAGACTTGTAACCGTGCAGTTCTTACAAGTGGTCTACAACATTGAAAACGGTCACATAAAGTAGCTGACAGCATCTCGGGCACATCAGAAAATAAAAATACCGGAGACAAGTACACACTGTCAAATGTGGACAAAAGATTTTTAGATTGCTCTTACCCCGTAGTAACATAGCTTACAGAAATCTCTTTCTTTTCTTTCTCGCTACCAAGGTGAGTACCTTACAACCATAGATACTAATGGCTTATTGTGCGCTGTTCATTACAATACATGATCAGATCCTGAATCTCTTGGCTAACTAACTCTTTAAGGCTGATATTGGTACTGTATTAATGCTATACTGCTTGCAGCTTGTTTTTGTTTGGAAGCAACTCAGTCTTTATAGTGAGTAGTTTAGCAGTGTAAATTCTGTATTTTATCATCATTTAGGAAAAACGTTAAAATAGCAAAAAATATGTTTTCTGACAATTAACCTCTCCTTCACAGGCAGTTGAAGATGCATATGTACCAGTTATCAAATTTGAGTTTGATGGAATTGAGGTAAGAATTTCATGTGTGTTGTGGCTTTTATGTGAGAATTCATTTTCTTGCTTTGGAATAGGATAACTTCCAGGGATCTGTGACTGCTATTTTACAAGATTATTGGTACCTTACAGTGTTTTTAGGAAAACACTCAGTTAGCTGGGGCTGTTCCAAGTTTAGAGTGATCTTCTCAACTTGGGGAAAAAAAAAAGAAAAAAAAAGCCCTTTCCTTTACTTAGCTTAAAAGGAAAGGGATGAGGCATAGGGGGCTTTGTAAATAAAATATGGAATTTCTAGAATTCCATTGGATTTTTTGGCAAATAAGTCTCCTGGGATATGTGTCTATTGTCACAGAATTCTAAATACAAGTGTTAGCCACTCTTTTGAGACTTGACTAACTGTCCCTCCCACTAGTGTGCTGTTTGCAAACAGTACAACATTCTAAGTCATGGTTGGCACTTTTTCCTCTTCAGATTGATCTTCTCTTTGCAAGACTGTCTGTGGCAACTGTTTCTGACAATCTTGATCTCAGAGATGACTCGCATCTGCAAAGCCTGGATATAAGATGTGTACGTAGTTTGAACGGTAAGCATATTTAAACATCTTTAAAGTGTGATCAAGACTGGTACAGAATGCACATTACACAGCCCAAGCTTCTGGACAAGAAACTGATCTGTGTGTATCTGAGGTGGTGGCAAGAAGGCTTAAACTTAGGTATTTCCTGAAGCTCTGTGTTTAGATAGTCATGTATTTCATGTTTCTTTGCTCAGGGAGTGTGCATTGTTACAGTTTGCCACACAAAGTGCTTCAGATGCATAGGTAAAGCACTTGATAAAGACTTGATAGAGAACAGTGTGTGGTAGTTAAAAAAAAAAAAAGATATTTAAAATACCTAAAGCCTAACTTGCTCACTGTTTAACACTGTTCCTGGCTGCCCAAAGAGTTCTAGCTTTTGGAATCCTATAGAAGAACCTTATTAAAAGTTGCTGGCTGCAGTGAAAACTATGAAAAAGCTGAGGGCACCAGCTACCTGAAGTGCTAATGTATATGTAATCCAGACTTGCTTTCATAATTTAAATGATAAACTGTAAGCTCTTGGTCCAGTATAGCATAAAACTGACTTGTACCTGTTCCTAGGAACTTTTGCATTTCAATTTTTCTTACAGGCTGCAGAGTTACTGACCAAATACTGCGTCTGGTGCCAAATCTAGAGAGCTTCTGTCTTGCACTCCGTGCAATTAAACTGTGGGCGAAACGTGAGTGATGGGATTGTTCATGATCTTTAAACTTTTCAGAGGCACCTCATGCTGAGAAAATGCAACTGTTAGAAGTACTTCAGCTTTGGATAGTTGCTTAAATGACAGTTTTTAAACTAGAACTGTCGTTTTTAGTCTGGATTAAAAGTCTGTTCATGTGGTCGATTTGGTGTGGTTTTTAATGAGGGTAGAGTGGGGAGGAGAAGGGATTGACCACAAAACAAGGTGATGTATTGCTGATCAGGAACCTCACTATAGATAGTAAAAATACAAAGTTTAAAATGTAAGGAATATGATATGTAAGGAATAAGAAAATACTGTTCATGCTAGAGCAAGGGCTAGAAGAATGGCAGAACGTTTTTGTCCGAAGGGAAGTTGGAATGAAGTAGTAGTTGTAGTAGTGTGGGCAAATTTCAGAGTAGCAGTGTTTTGGGAATTGGTGTGGTAATGATTCTTTTTCTCATCACTGCAAAGACCAACAATTTTGGCCTCATTGCACTGCAGAAATAACTGTCTGAGCCTGAAGCGTGTTAAGTATTCCACTGGTTGTGAAGTTGGTGCTGTAAATTTGAAGGAATATACTTGGGTATTAAAAGACTACATTTTAACTACAATTTACCTCTTCTAGGCCGTGGCATTTACTCAAATATGCTGGGATTTCTTGGTGGAGTTTCCTGGGCGATACTAGTAGCAAAGACTTGTCAGCTCTATCCAACTGCTTTGGCTTCTACTCTTGTTAACAAGTTCTTCTTGGTTTTTTCAAAATGGTAAGGGCAGTTGTTTGTTTTAACTTGCATAAAGAAGTAACATTTCCAGAAGTAGTTCTTTATATAAAGATTTACGTTGACAATGTTCAGTCTTACCCTGAATTACATGGGAAACTTGAAAACAGTCAGTTACTTGTTTTTTTTTCGTATAGGGAATGGCCAAATCCTGTATTGCTGAAACAACCTGAAGAAAACAACCTTAATTTGCCAGTATGGGACCCAAGGGTAAGTAGACATTAAATTCAGAAGCCTTTAAACTTTCTTCTAACCTAAACCGATGCTAAACGGATTTGTTTTAACATCATAGGTGAACCCAGCAGACCGGTATCATGTCATGCCTATCATCACTCCTGCCTATCCACAGCAGAATTCCACATACAATGTGTCTCCATCAACACGGGCGATAATAGTAGAGGAATTCAAACGTGGTAAAGTTTTTTTCCATGCTTATTAACTGGTTTTAAAGCCCCATTCTTGCTATTTGAAGCTGCATTATCTGAATTAGTTATGTCCTGTGAGGTGTTCAGCCCTTTTAGGTAGAACAGGTCTCTGGGAATTATACCTGTTGCAGGCAGTAAGCGAACAGTTTCAAAGTGAACTGCTGTAGTAGACATGCATGGTGTCAAGGGAGTTTGTTTTTTGACCTGTCAGCTAATGTTCAAAACCTTAATGTTAAGAAGATTATATCATGCTTGGCTAGTCTAAAAACCGAAATGGTAATAATGTTTTTCAACCTCAATTGTAGGTCTTGCAATTACAAATGAGATTCTCCAAGGGAAATCGGACTGGTCAAAACTCTTTGAACCCCTGAACTTCTTTCAGAAATACAAGTATGTATGAAATCTGTTGTCTGAACTTCAAATTATGTACTTACTGGTTGCATGGTGAGTTTTAACTTGGAATCTAAATAGAGCATAGCATAATGTTTGTTTTTCAGGAACTGGAAGTAGTGTTATTTAAATTTTGGTAAGTAAGTATAAGGGATAGTATAGGGAAGATAGAAAAACTGTATGTGTTATGCCACTTAAACTTTTTATTAGGAAAAAAATCAACTAGGATACTTGGAGTATAGCAGAATGGAGTTCTAAGGGATGTAATCACTTAATACCGTGCTGAATAGGGGATATAATCTATCTTGTCTGGAAGTTGTATTCTATTCATTTAAGGTAGTTTCACTTGAAGGAATATGAAGTCCTGAGCTAGTATGTTAATTTTCCTTCTAGACATTACATTGTGCTGACTGCTAGTGCTTCTACGGAGGACCATCACTTAGAATGGTAAGTCTTGCTTTAAATGGGGTTCAATACATAATTGGAACTTGGCTCAGTGTTGAACTTTATTCCTGTTACCTGTATTAACAAATGAAGTATAAAACTGAGCAACTAGGAATGGAATATAGCAGCAAGTTGAGTAGACAGTTGACCAGCAAAAGCTAAAGCTTTTTTCTTTATGAGGAGAAGTAAGCAGAAATCCAAGTCATGATGAGAAGGAGCAAGGAGGGTTTGTGTGTGTATGCCTAAAGGTTTGATGCTCTGTCTTACGTGGAGAAGCAGATGCAAGAAGTCTAAGAAGACTGCTTACCCAACACCACTTCAGCTAGTAGGAAGATGTTCCTTGTTGCAGAGACTGAAGCAAACAGATTAACCAATGTTATCAGATGTGTAATGGACACTGTAGAGCCTGATCCTCTATTGACTTTACAGAGCAGTGGTCTCCAAACTTTGATTGTGTACTCCTATCAGCAAAAACTTCTAAACATGAGCTTAAAATATATATATACTTATTTACAAGTTACATACACATAACTGAAGTTATAATACTTTCTTCCTGTGTCAACTAGATCCTTTTGATTATTAAAGGAACTATATTTTTCAATTTGGGAAGAGAGTAAACTTTTTTTCACTGATCAGGGATTCTTCTGCAGGAAGAATTGCGTCTTTAGTTGGTTGTAATAGAGCAGTTGTGCTTGAGCCTATTCTGAATTGCTCTTGTCCTTGATCTTTGGGGTAAAAAGGAGTTTTGCTGTATTTCAAAATGCAGCCAAAGGTGCTGGTACCTGCTTCTTGTTGACGTTTTCATCATAGATTATAGGTTGAAATATTGTATCTGAGCTGTTAAGAGTACAAGTTAAACTTGCTTATTTCTGTCTTTGGAGATGTCAAAGCTCACATGTTACTGGAAACATCTTAAACTGCAGTGTGTGCAATATAGAAATCCAGTAGCTTACTACTTAGTGATTTGTTAGCTTTTCTGTATTAGCACTGTACTATGAAAAGGCATGTAACTCCAGCGCTGGATACAGTTAAAAATGAGTAATTATCTCTGGTTCTTCTTAGGATTGGCCTTGTTGAATCTAAAATTCGTGTCCTGGTTGGAAATTTGGAGAGGAATGAATTTATAAATATGGTACATGTGAAGCCACAATCTTTCCCTGGCAACCAAGAACTCTGTAAACGGTGAGTTTCACTACTTTTCTGAGATACAGTTTGGCCAATGTATTATAACTTGTTCATATTCACCTTGGCTTATCTGGGAGGTGTTCAGTGGAATACCTATTATTTTGTAGGTATATGCTCTGACAGGCAAGGTTCTGAGTATGTAAGATCATTTTAAAGAAGGGAGAACTTCAGAGAGAAATACTCTGAGATCTTAAATGTGAGATGACTAACCTTGATTTGCTGTGTACAACTGAATTGTTTTGCTTAATCCCTTCTTGAGAATAGATGCTAGCATCCAAATAAATGGTCTCTGTGCATAAATGATATGATTTGTGAATCTGTCTCTTTAGGGATGAACATGTGTCAATGTGGTTTCTTGGAATTGAATTTAAGAAAGTGGAAAATACAGAAAGTATTAACGTTGATTTAACTTCTGTTGTACAGTCATTCACAAGTACAGGTAAGCCTATATTTTGCTCTGGTCTTGTAGGGTTTCATGTTTGTGATTGCAGTGGGAGCTGCTTCACAAAGTAAATTGTGCTCTCATCTGATATTAGCTACTGGGTATTTCTACAGAGCAACACACAGATTAGCTTTAAAGTTAAGTTCACCTTGAAGCAAAAGTGGCTACTACAGTCATACCCTGTGCACTATATGTGAAATAACGGTTCTGCAGATCACAGTGCAAACACTCACAAAGGAACTTGAATTTATTTTGAAGCAACTGTTCATATTGGTGTGGGCGTCTATATTTAGGCTTTTATTAAATTTCTAAGCCTTTTGTTGCATGACCTTAGTTTGATTCCCACTCTGTGTTCATAATCTGGCTTTCCCTTTACACTCATGATAGGTCTGTTTAACAAGCTTATCTAAGTGTGACTGAATTCTGTAATAACTGCTGTGCTCATATAGCATTTTCAAGTTGCATAAAGGGCTGTTCGCAGGTGGTTAAGAAAAACATGTTGAAACTGCAGTGATTCTGGTAAGTCAGAGGTCCCTAAAATCCAGTCTTACTTTCTTGGGCAGATAGAATTTTAACATTTAGACTACTGAGAAGTCAGCTGATATTACAGAACTGTTACCAAAAAAAAAAACCAACCCACAATAATCACTGTAAATGTCAAATAAAAAATTAATCTGAATCTGATCTCATCAGCTGTGCACAATTGGGTTGATTCAGAAAGTCCTCTAAATTTTTCTAGTTTTTCAACCAGAAAAACTAATCTCCTTTGGGTTAAAATCAGCTCAGATGTGAGCTGTGTTATTAGCAAACCACAGCTGTAGCTGTGTACATAACAGCTATATAAGTTCAAATATGCATTCATGTATCTGGTCTGTGCTAGATGTGAAATGGGCATCTTAGGCCACAGTAATCTTAAGAGTATTTGGGATGCTTGGGAAGCATTTTGTGTTCAGTTAGGCTGGAGACTTCTTGCTCTCTGGGCTGGACAGATTAGAGGCTTGCTCTTCTTAAATATATATAACTGACAAATACCTAATGCAGACATCCTCACTAACCTACAACATCATCCCATGTTAGTTTACAGGCAGGCTATCAACCTCAATGTGCTAAAAGAAGGAATGAAGATAGAGGCAGCTCATGTGAAGAGGAAGCATCTCCACTACTTTTTGCCAGCTGAAGCCATTCAGAAAAAAAAGAAGGTATCATAAAAATCTGGCTCTTTTGGCATTTTTCTTTTCTTTAATAATTACTTGAAGACTTCATTATTATATTTCTAACTGTTGTTTCAGCAAAGTATGCCAGATATTGGTAAAAATGCCTGTGAGCGTCAGTGCAAGAGGATTTCTGCAGATGGAAACTGTTCGGGCAGTTCCAGAGACACGGACTCCAGAACTCCATATCATTCCTCTGTATTACATGAGATAACTAAAATGGACACCTACCCAACTGAGACTAAAAGGTTGGACTGTAACCTTTGAACTGGAAGAACCTGCTTTTAACTGGGGGGAGGCAGGCTAAAGAAATCCTTGAGACATTAACGTACATGAACACATAGGAATGAAGAACTGCTTGATACTAGAGAAATTATTTGGACTTGAATAGAAATCCTCTTAGGTTATTGAAGTGTGTAACTTGAAGCTGGAGTATTTTATGTGTAGGTAAATGTTCCTTCTTGAAACCAAAAAGGTATAATTAATGCGAAGCAGTATTAAGCACTAATGAAGTGCTGATCTTGATCACAGAAACACTGGAGCTGCTGCTGACTTGGAGTGGTGTAAGGACTTGGTCAATAAAAGTGACTGTCCCTTCCTGGGAAGTCTGTCCATAAGCTACTTCAGCACAGGAGGAATATATAACCTTGAGAGTAACAGCCCAGTGCTTCCGGATGTCTAATGCCTGCTGTGCTCAGACAGTTCGGTACTATAGGATTATACACAATTTGATGCACATATGGGTAGAGCAGATCCATTCATTAAAACCAGCACAAGTGCTTAATATTCAAAGCTGGGAAACAGTACCAGTACATAGAGACTCACTAAAGAAAATGCTTCAATTTAAATTCAAGGTCTAAAGTCCAGCAAAACAGGGGAAGTTCAGATCAGATAGAAGGAAAAAGTTTTTTACTGTGAGGGTGAGGAGGCACTGGAACAGGTTGCCCAGAGAAAATGCTCCATTCTTGGCAGTGTTCAAGGCCAGGCTGGACAGGGCTTGAAGCAACCCGCTCTAGTGAAAGGTATACCTGCCCATGGCAGAGGGTTGGAACTGGATGATCTGAAGGTCCTTTCCAACCCAAACCGTTCTGTTTTTCCACAAAAATGAAGATCTCATACTAGTTTGCCTCTGATTTTGTGTTGTTTAGTAGAGCTGTGACAATGGGTTAGGAAGGTAAATGTTTGCCTTGCATAAATGTTCTGGAAATATATGGTATTTTGCAACTAGCAAAATACTGTATATTTTATAACTCTGGTGCCTGACTTTTACAGAGCCACTGTCTATCAGAAATCCAATACTACTAACAACAGAGAGAAGATACCTCTTGGAGCTGTGCCATCAACATCCATGAGAATCTCTATGCCTGTTACCGACTCAAGTATGTATCGAAGTAGTGGGTGGAATGCAGTCTTTAATTTCATGGCTGAACTCTAAAACCTTGTTACAATCCTGCAGAAATAGAGACTACACTCGGAAGACCGACATCAGCACCTATAACTGGTTTCACCATTTCAGAACATAACACAGTTCCTAGAGTATTACCACATTTTGACCAAGGGCAGCCTGAATTAGCTCGGACTGCAGTTACAGACCTGAAGACTACTGCCTCTAAACGACCTTATTCACCCTCTTCAACCGGAGATGAACGACCCAAAAAAATAACTGATGGAGAAAAGGTGAGGAAGAGGGGCTGGGTCAGGGAGGTTTGAAGTAGTGTTAGTTATTGATGTAGAATGAATGAAGTTGCTGAGAAGAAATGCACATATACATTCCCAGCAGATTCAGGAATCTAAATTTAAGTGTAATAATAGTTTGACTAGGATATAGCTAGGAGAAATTGTCTTGAATATAATTTGAGCAATTGGAACAAGACTGCTTCTTGTCTGGTAGCAGGGTCTCTAAATGTGACTACACTGATACAGTACTGCACTGACCTGAACTGCCTCATTTGGAAACAGTTTTTAAAACAATTCAGAAAAAAAGCTATCTCAAAATGAAGAGTATATGAATGTATAATTGTAAAAATACTAGCTAATCTTGTTCTGGCAGATGATATTTGAATGCATAGTGGTAGTTCTGCTGCTTTAGAAAGCAGCAGCCTACTTGCAGGTCATCCACTGCTGAAATGACAGTGTGGAGTTGCTTGTTTAAACATAAATCTAATGCTTTCACAAGAACAAGATTTAATGTTTTATTGCTATATATAAGTCTCCTTAAATACCTTGACCTCTCTTTGAGTCAAAGAACAAGTAGAGAAACCTCGAGTTGGATACTTGTAAAGAACCAAGGTTTGGGTAGTAAGACACATGAAAGGCTTGAGATTCCTGTGTGATAGTGGTAGCCTTCTCTAAATGTTGTTTTAAGAATGGCCACTGATACATTCGCTGTGTTGACTGAAGCTGTACCCAAATATGAAGGTAATTTCAGTATAGCACTTATTTTGAATCTGTGTATTCTGTTCTTCTAGCGAACTGGACAGGACTCAGCATTCAAAGATTGTGGCAACCCAGAAGACGTCATGAGAGCTACAGGAAATGTAATTTTCAAATGTTTTTTACTCAGACTGAGAAGCTGAATGGGCTGTTCTAGTGCCTAAACTACCTCACAGAAATACTCTACACATTTACTGATGTGAACAAAAATGTGCTTTTTAATGTAATTCTCTTCGGTTTTCATTTTGCAAGAATTACACCTATATGACCTATCTTTTTAAATGCTGTTGCTAGATTTGGTAGTATCTAGCTTCTTGCCATGCTTGAAGTCACTCTTTTTTTAGCCACTTGATTCACTAATGTAAACTACAGCTACTAAAAGACTAAAGCATTTGGCCTCTCAGAGGGAGGATAAAGAGCTTTAGTGTAGCTTGCTACTGAAGCATAAACTCTTGAGGGCACACCCTCAAATCAAATGTGATGTTGTTGGTAAAGAAAAGGTTAAAATAGCTGAAACGCTGTATTTGTGTTTATAGGGCTTAAAATACTGCCTAATAAATCCCTTCTGGCTTTTTTCTAGGACTTGGTTAGAGGAGGAGGAAAAGCCGTGCTTGCTCCAGGCATCAGGACAGCAAGATCACAGGTATTATATATTGTGTCTGTGTATGCGTAGGTAAATCAAAAGTAGAATTTTCTTTTTTTCATATAAAGACTTAAATGCTATTAATCTCTGTAAACTTGGGGGCTCAAAGTAGTTACAAGCTTTTGCGTATCATGCTTTCACCAAACTGAATAGCTGAACAATGACCTTCAGGTATACTCACAAAAGTGAAGCCAAAGCTTCCAAGTTATTAAACTCTGAAAACCACATTTCCTGGCTCTCAAACACTGGCACAGTTTATTTCCTCATTTCCTTTTTTTCAGGAGCGAAAAGGTCTGTACTCCTTGCAGGTCTTCCATAAGGGGCTCTTATTATCTAAATTATTGTATACTGATTTCTGTGACAAGACTTGGAAGCTTTGAAGTGTATAAGTGGCCAGTAGAGACAGTCCTGATCCGTGGTTCTGAGAAGAATGATGGCTTCCTCTTATGCTCTTATGGAACTTGCAACTTATTTCCCCTCCTCAGGAATATAATTATCTCAGTTGATGTCAGGAAAGAAATGTGCAGAGGGGAAAATGCTTTTCCTCTGTCAACTGGTGATAACAACTGGTGTGGTAAACAGAAAATCCATGTACTGTACATGACTGCTACTGCTGAACCCAGGACAGAAATATTTGGGTTTGGGCCATAGTGTTTTGGTACATAACGAATGTTAGATTCAGCTAGGAAAGGGTTTATCTGCTGCTACTTCTGAATTAATGAATTCAAAACTTCCTTTTTTTTTTTTTCCTTTTTCTGTTTTTGTGGCATCTTTTTGTGTGTTTTAGAGGCTATCCAGTAAAGAACTACCAGATTCTTCATCTCCTGTTCCAACAAATAGCATTCGTATTATTAAAAGATCCATCAAACTTACCCTTAATGGGTAGCTGGTTTCTCTTCAGGTGAAGATGGAAAGCACTTTAGAGATCCGTATTATCAACATGTATTGTAGTTACAAACAAGAATATGGAAGGTCACTCTTGCCATATGCAACTGGCCAGTTAAAATCATGCTCTTGTTTTATAGCATTGTTCAATGCTTTGATGTACTCTTTGCACATTCTTGTAACAGTTTATACTTCCTAGTCTTTTTTAAAGTCTTAATTGTCACTAGCTGAAACAGCTTTGGAGAAAGCCACAAAAGTGACCTGTCCTGTGACTTGGGATTCAGAATGCATGTAAATAGGGTTGGTTAACTAGTCACTGCAACCACATTCTGAGTTCAAGTGTATGAATGTGCTTGTATTTATCTGTGCTTTCCTAGTTCATGTGCATCCATTGTTCTTATCTTAAATTATTTTCCCATTTAACACGTTCCCTCCTGCGCATCTGTCACAATGGTGCTCAGCTTCCTCAAGTGGTAGCTTTCCACTGTCTAGCACAGCCGTGCACTACACAAGTACTGCCTCCCATGGAGGCCCATAAGTAACTCAAATACTGGAGGAAATGCAGCAGAGGATGGTACCCAGGTATAGAGTTGATGGACGTGTCTCAAGCCATGTTATCTGATTTTTGTCTTTAAGACTGCTCCAGCATGAAACTTGATGGGTCTTTTTATTGTCAATGGGTAGTAAAGCTAAAGTTGGAACACACAGCTGAAGATGCACAGCTGAGGCTGGTGTGACACTACTACCTACCTGCCAGCTGCAGTCTTGAAAGCACATGGCATGCAGAAAGTGGCTTCAGATAAACCCTAAAAGCTGTTCTGAATGGGTACATGAAAACTTGTAGTAGTCTGGTTCTGTAATCTGCTAACACTGCTTACCCAGTTAGTGCATCAGGGTTTTTGAGGGGTGGGGAGAAATTCTGATCATAAGAAACAAACGTTATGCTATCTCTCTTGCAAGTTCTTTGTAATTTGGTGCTTTTGTAGATGAAATTGTATGTTTTTTCCAGAGTATTTTTGTATATGCTGTAAAATAATATCTTTCAAAGAGAAATTTAAAATCTTCAGCCTCTTTTTTTTTTCCCAATGTAGATGGGATCTGCTTAAAAAGCCCAGGCAACTCAACCAAGTGTGAGGCCTGTGTAAGGGGGAGCAGTGCCATAAAAAACATCCCACAGAATGATAATGTCATGGTAGAGTAAATGAGGAGCCCAGCAACACTGCTTCCCTGCTTCTAGGATTTCCAGGTTTTGAATTCATGCCCTCTGAATAGTGCAGTTTGAGAACTGCCTTGACAGCTGAGGTCCCAGTTAGCTCTGTGGACAACAGAAAATGAGTTGCTTGGATTAAAGAGCAATTCTGAGCTCTAATCATCTTCAACATCCACCAAAAAAAAACTAGTGTCAAGACTATAAAGGCATAGAAGGAGGCATATATCTTGCAAGTTCTCAATTCTCTAGCATTCCCCCTGTTACTAGTAATCCAAATGTGTGGAGAAAGTGATATTTATCACAATATATTTAGGGTTTTTTTCCTTATTACTTCTGATTTTCAGCTTGCTTGAAGTGCAACTTATCTCTTGGCCTTAGTGGATTTGAGAGGTCTTATTCTTCCCTCCAAAAAGATACCCCAAACTTAGGCCTTAAGTTTACTCACAGGTTAAAATTAAGAAACAGTACCCATGTTACTTCAGTGGCTTTTAGCAGAACCAGTTTATAAACTGGTTTTGTGACCTCTATTAAAACTAAGGTATTGAAATAGTGACAAGCCTGTGTACTAGAGTATGTATATACAACTTCAGCACCTGTGTAAATAAAAATCTGACATGAATTTGAAGGAATTAAAGCTGAAGTAGGTGATGAGAGAAACAGCAGAGCAAATACGGAAAGTAAGTGTTAGAAATAGCCTAGAACCTTGTAATGTTACCATGCTTTTAAACTGCTTCTTCCACTTGAGTATTCCAAGACTGTTATGGGCTCTTTTGCCCTTGACCTCTATGTCATTATGTGCATTTATGCAATTAATCTCCTACTAACCTAGCTAATAGATAGAAAGTATATGCCTTTACCTAGATTTTTTTCTCACTCTTGTTTTGCAGTTACCTTCTAATTGCTCTTGCTTTTTATTTCCCTCACTCTTAGGCTTTTCTGAAGAAATTTTAGGAAGAATTTAGATTACTAGTTTCTCGGATTTGATTCGGCATACTTGAGATTATTTTTTATATTTTACTACTTGGCCCAGTGCAGAGTGACATCACTGTTCTGGAGTTTCCTTGGATGTGACAACCTTCAGATTATGCAGATTAGTTTTCATTTATTTTAAATAAAAATACCTTGACTGTTAAGCTTTAAATGTTTTTCTTTGTTTATAGAGCAAGTTCTCTGTTAGAGTGGCTGAAAGTTACTTATGCAGCAAGACTCAATGAGGGGAGGCTCTTTGATATCAGACTTCCTGCAAGCTTTGCTGTTTTTTGGTTGCTCTGTGTGTGTGTGTGGCTTGGAGGATGGAACCACCCAGAGGGCTGCACAGTCAATCTCCTTAAAGAGCAGCAGCTCTGTACTGAAATTGTGTATGATTAGTAACTTTAAACAAGAAATTCTATTGCAGAAATTAACCTTTCCTGTGGTTTCACTTGTTAGGTACAAGCAAAGAAACAGTTAATGTGAAGTCACCTCCATTTCTGCTATTGCAATGGATGTCCCTGTAGAAACAGAGAGAGAAAGTAATACTTTTTGCCATAATGAGTAAAAAGCAAATGGGGGGAAAAAGAAGTTATCTTGAAACTGTTAATCTTGACTTTGTGAGGGAGGGGGCTTATTATGCCTGCCTTTATGTAATACTTGGTGACATAAGCTGTTTAGCCTAAATAACACAAGCAAAAACTCCTAGCTGTGTTTTTGCAATTACCTCATCACACTTCTTATAAAGAGGCTGGTCCTATGCTTTATTCCAGTAAATGAAAACCCAGGGCTGTAGTGTGTTAGGTATGTGTTATGTATGTGTAGTGTGTTACATATCTGAGCCCCTCAGCTGCAAAGAACCCCCTCATGCTGGAAGCATTCATGCCCTGTCCCCAGTGGGAATCAGGTGGCTGATTCACCCTCATCTGAGGCACCTCATCTGAGCAGTAACCTCCTACTGTGAAAACAGGTGTGTTTCTTTCCCGAGGACCATGCCAGTGGGTGCTGCATGCCCTTTTCCCCAGCAGGGTGAAGGGAGCTGTGGCCTGGGCTTCCCACACTGGGGATGGTTTCCTGCCCCAAGCCCTGTGGTGGGGGCAGGCTGGGGGCTGAGCTGCGTGTGCTGTGATGGTGCTGACATGCAACTGCACCACTGCAGTGTGCTGAGGGCTGCTGTGCTCTGACGTTGGGTGGCTGGGAAATACCTCTGCCACCCCTGCCCACTAGCCTGGAGGTGTTGAGGGGGGGGGGACCACAATGCCACAGCCCCCTGCTTCCCGACCAGCTCTGCTTTTCCTCAACTCCTGCTGGGCCAGGCTGGACTGAGCAGTATACAGCGGGGTGTTTTCCAGCTTGGAGCTGACTAATGGGCTATAGCACATTCCTTACTGCCTCCTAACATGGGGTTCCTGTCCCTATGGCTGAGTGTTTCTTCAGTCATTGACACCTCTGAGCATGGCTCGGGGCTCCAGGCTGCTGGACTTTGTATATTTCTTTCTGGAGGGGATCTTGGCAAAACAGCAGCCTGGAGGCTGGTTTTTCTCTTTCAACATAAAGCCTATTGGCCTCTCAGCTCTGTGACCTTCAAGAAATTAATAGAAAATCAGACTGAGACTGCTCATTCTGGAGCAGTTCCTCTTTGCTGGGAAGACCCTGTCTGAATCATCCTGCTCTCTTCACCTAACCTTGTTTCTTATTCACGCTTCATCTCTTCATTCCATCTGATCTTGGGTCCTTGCCTGTCTTCCTGTCTCTCCAATAAATCTTCCTTTCTCACCTAAAACCATCTTCGCTTCCTCTGCATTTGAACTGGATGGGACTTTATTCTGTGTTGGTAGAATGAAGAATCCCAGGAGTCCTGAAACAAGAGGAGAAATGACCTCCCCTGTTTCAGTTTTAGTGTGTGGCAGCCTGGCAGTCAGCTGCCTGCTGCAGGGACCATCCAGCTCACTCTGCAGTATGTGCAATGGAGAGAAAGCTGGAAACTGGCTACTAAACAAGTCCGGCCAGCGTGTGTAAGTTCAACCCTTTCAAAAGTTCAACACATGCCCGGATAGGTGTGTTTTTTCAAAGGAAGAGCAAAAAGTCCAAAAGTGACACCAGCACAGCCTCTGGGTGAAATTTTGTGTCCCTGTTTTTCAAATGTGAAGAAGAGTTTCTTAATAAAAGTGTTAAGAATTCTTTGAATGTATTTCTATTCCCCAGGATCGTTCTTAGAAACGACTGAGTCAGTTTTGTTCTGGTTTTCCTCAAAAATCAGGTGGAGGCACAGTATATGTGCTCATAGTCCAGAGAAATGTTTTTGACAAACTGGGAGTAGCTGAAAATGTGACCTTAAAATGGGAAGTGTTAACTACCCACAACCAACAAAGTGCATTGATGGTAATGTTACAAATATAAAACATAGCACCTACTTACTAAACTAAACTACTCAACGAAAGCTGGAGATGCTAGCATGTATTTTGTCCATGCAATTTTAATTCCACTCCATTTTTCCTCTGTGGTCACTAGGGCAGAACAGAAACTTATCATAGACTCTATATGAGTGCTTGCACACAGAGAAGAAAAGCTGAGGTTTGCTGAATCACTTGGTGTGTAAGTGCTTGGCTCTATGCCTTCAGCACTGCGTTAGTGTGTTTGTTGTGAGTTTTATCAGATTGATTTTCCCCTCTTCTTTGATACCAGATTTACGTTTCATTCTGTACAGCCTTTTCTACTGCTTGAGCAGAAGGGCATAAACCTGTCACTGTGAGATTTCTAATAGCTGAGCTAAAGAAGGGATAGCTATTTTAAGTTATTTTCTGCTCTCAAATGAGGCAGGCTTTCAACCGTCAGGAAACTGAAAGTTGGCCCTGCTTCTGAGTTATCTATACGAAACCAGAAGTCTTGAAGTATTTCTTGCAAGACTTGTAGCTGGTCATTACATTCACTTCTGGTTTTTACTAGATGGTATAGCATCAAGTTAATTTTCCTGACTCATTCCGAGAGTTTTTACAGGTCTTTCCTGATACCTTTTATGCTACGTAGGATGCCAGCTGTTGGGAGAGTCTGTACAGCAAACAGTAGGTTTTGTTCAGTGCACTCATGAATAAAATGAAGAGCCATTTTGTCAAATCATGGGCAACAGGAAAATCATGGGTAGAGTATTTTCTGTGTAGTGATTGTTTGCAGTAGTTTAGTTAAGAAAACCAAATGGGACAAAAATATACCTCTGGGAGTAGCATTTTGAGGAAAATGACTTACAAACAGCCAAGTCCTAGCAATGAGAAGGCAAGGGAATCCCCAGTTTCTGTTCCCCTGTTCACCCACTAAATAAATCACGGGTCACACCAAATGGTAGGTTGCGCAGTACAGAGATGTTTGCTTTTCTGTAATTCAGGGTAAATGTTTGGCATATGCCTGTAAAATTATCAGTCTGTTTAATGATATTCCTCTTACAGAAATAAGTCATCAGCAGCGTGTTCATTTTCTCTCCTGTTCTTACATGCTGTCACTTCAAGTGGGGGAAATTCACTAAAGGTAATATGTCAGTTTTCTCCAGATTGTGCTTATTTTAAGTTGTTTTCAGTTCACCTTTCAGTAACAAGTAAGCTGACATGGATTGGCCAAAAGCCCAACTGTGGAGCTTGAGTAGAGGTTCGTATGTTCAGACTCAAATCTTGTGTGTGCTCACCCTTAAAGGTCATCCCCAGTCCCAGTGGCTGTGATGTCAGTGGGGAAACCCTGCTGCACTTTTGTTTGTCCTTGTGCAAAGGTCTAGAAACGTCAGATAGAAGCAAAGCAGCTGCTTAGAAAAGGCTTCAGTAGAGAAACTAACCACAGTTTCTTACTGACTGATAAGCAAAAGTGATTTATTTAATCAGGTCCTGCTTGAATGGTCT